CTTGCGTCTCTTCCTTGTGTGAAGAGGTATGGGCCGCCTGACTGGATCGATCTTCGTGCTTACGCTTTCCTACCGTCCTCCCCTGTCACTTTAACGGTAGGTGGTCATGGCGATCGAAGAAGAATTCGCCCTGGAAATTCCGGACAACGAGGCCGACAAGATCGGGTCGATTGCGGAGGCAGTGAAATACATCGCATCGCATCCACAGGTACGTCGATGGGGTGGGGGAAAAGGACTTCGGATAAGTCAGGCGCCGATCCGCTATTAGTGGGCCCCGCCCCCCATCTTCCTTGTAATGGTATTGGGAGGAGAAGGGGAGCAAGAAGAAAGACATGGATATAGGGGAAAGCAATAGGAAGGCAGAGGGTAACGTGGCTCGAAGAACTCATTTGTACCTGTGCTCATCCCGGTAAATTGGTGTACCTCCTCGGATCAGGCGAAGTAAAGCATCTTCTTAAGCGCTGGTATGCCCCTGTCGGCGAGGGTGGGCTCAGAGGATGCGAGCGCGGGAAAAGGAAAGGAAATGGCGGAGAAAGTGATGGGGTTGGAGTATGAGGCGATGTGAACCTGAGGGCGTGTCCATCGGCCAGGAATATGCGGCTTGAAGGGAAGGCTCCTAGTTTCTACGATTCTATTTCTATCGTTTGGACTTGTCCGCGGTAGAGAGTGGCGACTGCGGCGTGAAGGCGGGGGGGAAAGGTTCAGATGACTAGGCGTTGGAGTCTTTGGCTTTTCGACGGACGACGATTGCTGGGCATCTCACGAGGCCGCGAGGGGGCAAGATGAGTAGATTAAGGGATTATTGCAGGTAGAGGCAGGGCAGAGGAAAATGGAGGAAACAAGAAACAGAGAGAGGGACGAGTTGGTGGGAGCGTTGAGACAGGGTTATATGTATGTCCAGGCCCCCCCAAAAAAGATGCAACGCAAAATGTTCGGCGACAACATCTGACCACAATGTTTATCAATGTTGGGGGGAAATGGAAGACCGTTGGATAAAGTTGGAATGGATCCTGTCTTTTTCTTTTGGGTTAAATGTAGGGTATTTGGGGGGGAGGCGGTTGATACAGACTCCTGATGCTTCTTGAAACAAACTCTATGCATAATCACGTCTATAAACCATAGCTCGACACTGTCACGGCCTAAGCGGTATCTCTGCCATGCCCTTTGTCATTCCGTAAGAAACACTCATCGTACATGGGAAAGATCGTCGTCTCTGTCACGCGGAGTAATGCTTCAGGACTCCCTCGCTTGAAGGCGATGGCCCAACGCAACACTTGCGACGGCCGCGACATTTTGACACTTATCCCATGTTCATACAATCATGGACGACTTTTCCGACCCTTTTTATTCAGAAAGAAAAACTTTGATTGTTCACAGGAGTGGGCGTGTACTGATAGGAAAGATATGTCGAGAGTACTTGTGCACAGAAAATGATCAGGGTGGGCTGGTTATAGCGGAGTTTCGATGAGCCATACAGACGCAATAGGTGCTTCATATCGGGTCTCTAGTAGCCGCACGACCCTTAATTGTGCTTTTTGAGAAACCTATTCGAAGCTGTAAGCAAGTCTTGTTGGCAGCCTATTAAAAAAGTCATGTGCAAAGCGACCGCAGAGCAATCATCGCCCTCGCCCAAAATTCACTTTTCTTCTCTAGACCTCCTAGTAAAGCAATGCTTCCCCCTCCCCCTTCTTTCACAACTGCCCCCAAAAGTGCACAGACACATAGAAGCCAGGCGTCATGGCCTCTGGCATCAGCAGCAGTCGATTCCGGCAGGGTGCAGGTTTGGGCAGCCCCCCTTCTCGCAGGCCGAAGCCCGGGGCTAAGGGCAAGGTATGGTCCGAAGTGAAAATAAAAGGGTTTGAAAGGAATGACTGACAAAGAAAGGAAGTCGACGTCAAAGTATGGTTTGAGAATGTAGTGCTGAGCGTTATTTTCGGTTCCCACGTCTGTACAGGGCTTGGACGAGGAAGAGCTGGAGGAAATCCGAGAGGCTTTTAACCTCTTCGACAGCGACGGGAAAGGCACGATCGACGTCAGGGAATTGAAAGCCGCCTTCCGAGCCTTGGGATTCCAGGTGTGTTGTTAAGGACAGTGAGGGAGGAAAGCACAGGGGGTAGGAAGGCAGGGGTTCCAAACGCACAGCCCAGGAATAAGAGGAAGTTAAAGTCAAAGCTTTTCTTTCCATGGCATCCCACTCGATGCGGCAGGTCAAAAAAGCAGAGATCCGCACCTTTCTCCAAACCATTGACAAAGAGATGGCGGCCACGGTCACCTACGATGAGTTCTTGGACATGGCTGCGCCCAAGGTGGCCAATCGGGACGAACGGGAAGAGATTCAAAAGGTGAGGAAGACGCCCAGCAAGAGGGGAACGGAGGGATCTGAGGCCCGGGGGCCTGTCTTTGATTTGGTCATGGGCCCATCCGACCGCGGGGGGCCCCACGGGCTGGGCCGTCGAGTCTCTCCTTTCATGTGTCCTGGTCGATTTTCTCGCATTCCAGGTTTTTGCCCTCTTTGACGACGATGGCACGGGCGCGATTTCCTTCCGGAACCTGAAACGGGTGGCCACAGAGCTGGGAGAAAACTTGACGGACGAGGAACTGCAGGAAATGATTGGTAAGGAGGCTGCCCTGTATGTGTGAGGTGGGCTCTCCCTCTCTC